TGAAAATCCTTGCACCCTTCCCCTTCCTGCTCAGAGGCATGCCCTCTCCCCCCTATTGCCCCCATCCCCTGCATGCCACCACTGATTAAGGGGCAGAGAAACTCCAGACCTAGCTGGGCTGAGCATGGGGTGGGCTCAGCTGGAGAGGGGACAGTGGCAACAGGGTGGCTGGAGAGTTTCTTTCATCATGCCTGCTCTTCACCTCCCCAGCTGAGCACAGCACCCATGCATGGGACACAAATGGCTCTAGTGCTTCCCTGCCCCAGGGACAGTGGGGAAAGGCAGGCAGGGTATAGGGGGGAAGAAGTAGAAAGGGGGCATGCAATAGTGTACTGGGAGGAACTTCCCGTGGTGTTTTTTAATCCAAAAGCGGGGTGTAGATGCACCACTGCACCTCCTCTGAATCTGCCTTTGGCAAGAATTCAACAACTGGGAAAGCAAGCTGGACATTTGTATGAAGAGCAAGGCAGTAAGAAGGGAAGGTGCAATTGGAGGAGGTGTAGAGATGGGGAAAACACACCCACATGTCTCTGTAGGTTAAGGGAGTCGTTTATGGGTGGGAAGAAGTTTTGATTATATTCTTATGGCAGAGGAAGTGGTGACAGACAGCTTCTAAACCCAGGAGCCAGATTGGGAACAAGGAAAATGGAAAGATGTCAACACCTTTCTACGTTTTCTATGACACACACTTTCTCTCCTACTTCATGACAATTGGGCAGTTTCCCTCTCTCAATTAGATAATCCCTAATACTCCAGTAACAAGACTCCTCAAACCAATGTAATTTTTCTGTTCTCTCTTGACATTTTAAATAAGATGTATGGGCTGGTAGCTGTTTCAAATGTTAAATGATGACCCCCATAGTGTAATATGTCAGAAGAGCATATCTCTGTAGACATTCTTCTGAATGAGAAATGTCTCACACAAAATGTACTACTAAATGTTAATAGCTCTAAAGCTACACAACTTGTAAATTTATTGAATTGTGTTAACAATGAGGTTAATACTTAAATTATGCCCCAAAATAGTAGTATGCTCATGGGAAGCAAAGGTAAAATAATACTTTGCATGGAAGTCGGCATACAGTTATCATCCTGAGGCTCTTTCTGCAGGGAGGAATCAATCTTGAGCTGGACAGTTGTGCTTATAATTGTGTGCGTGGTTGGACCCAAGAACGCAGTGCAGACCTAGATTACGGTATAGGACCACATTTAGAGTCTCTTCTTCCAAAGCCATGTGATCACATCAAAATCTAAGCTTATATAAATATATATTTCAAATTAAAGTTTCTTGCTCCCACGGTTCCAAGGAAAAAATGAAACTCCGCTATAAAGGAAGTAGCAATAACCTCTGCAATCTGTAGGCAGCAAGGAAGAAAAGTTCTGATGGGTATGATTCACCAAGATCTGGCCCTCATCTCTGTTGCTCTAATCTTCCCTGGACAGAAAAGTAACAAAAGAGTCTCAGGGTCTGACTCACCACTCCAATACTCCAGATTTATGCTGATGTAACTCTGTTGATATGAATGGAGTGACAGCAGTGTACAGCTGGAACGAAGCATTCGCTGTATCAGGCCCTCATTCTCTTATCTGCTCCTCTAAAAAATAAACTCCATTGCTCCACTGCTGCACATCTCCTGGTTAATACAGGCAGAAACACAGATGGAGTGAAAATGTATTTTTGTCCCTTTGCATAACCTTGAGCACTTTGCCTTGTCATTTTTTTTTTTTTTTTTTGTTATTTTCATCCAGTCCAATATGTAATCATATAGTGGCATCACAGAGAAAACCAGATTCATCCAATCACACTTCTGCATTGATAATGGGTTATACATTTGAAGATATTGATCGACTGCATGGAAAAATAAATTGAAGTAATACAGGATTTCGAAAAGCTGCTGACAACAGACAACTGAGTCTGCAATCTTTTAGAATAGTCCTTTGTTGCTTATTTAGATATTAGAAAAACTGCAGAATAAAAATAACTGTCTCCTCCAGAAAAGCTCCCTCTGTCACCATCTCATTTTAGCCAGGTTGCACTCTATTACTATTGGTGAAAACCTGGTATAGTACAGGCGATGGATTACAGGATACTGAACTAGTTATACTAAACTGAGCCCACAGTGAAATTCAGAAGAAGCTTGTTGTGGTTTTTTGGGTACCTTATGGAAAATGCGTAAAGGATTTTAATCCAGTCTCTATCATACTAAACAGAAGCCAACCACAATATTGCTATTAGTTAGTTCAATTGGCTCCTTTATTGGCAGCCATATGAGAAATGTCCAAGACTGAATGGTCACGGAGAACCTCTGATGCCTACAGGTGGTCCCTTCCTCCAGGTAAAGTCTGGATACCTCGGCAAGACCATGTGAAGAGAATTGCACTGCGTACCTGATCAGGAGCTAAGTGGATGATATGAGCTTCTATTTTGGCAGCCTAATCCCTTCAATAGTTCCTAAAATTCATTTAGGAAAAAAAAATCCTATTTGATTTCACTGTGACTGCTGGTGCTCAGAGCTATTATTAGGGTTCATTTCAGAAATTTGTCAAAGTGGTGACTCAGCCTTCCATTGTCCCTCCTGCCTTTCCTAGTCTCTGAATTGAATTTTCCAGAGGCAATGCTTCTTGCCTATAACTGATAATTTTCTATGGGGTATTTCTTTCATCTTTCTTTCTCTCATTCATTTTTAAAAATCCTTTTACTTCTCATTTCTTCCATTTTCCTATTTAGTTATCTCTGATTTCTTCTCCTCTCTTTTTTCCCCTCCCATCTGCCCTTTCTTCCATCCCCTCATCATTTGTCAATACTACCTTGTACAGTACAATCAATTTATTTATATACTGTTGTTGTTCATTGCCTGAATCACTACCAAGCACATGGTATTCCAGGAGAATAAAAAGAAGAAAAAAAAGAAAACCACAAGCAGATGAAAGAGAGTGTACAAATGGCTGGATGCCAGGAACCCCTGCCTGCTGTGATGACTTTCCTTTTTGGCCTTTGCCAAGTCATTTGGGGACAGATCCAGATCTAGTTGACAAGGCCTAAATAGGTCTTTGATGGAACTAAGGCACATAGAGTGATCAAGAGTAATCCAAATTAATCTTAATCCTGTTCAGAGGCTGCAGAACTGCTTAGGCATCCAGATGTCTCTATGTTAACCTAACTAGACCTGCCCAGACTTCAGCTACTGCTCAAGCTCAGAAGAGATCCAAACAAACTGTTTAAGTCCCACATCATTCTGCTGTGATCCAAAGTGATGGGACATGCCTATACTCTGCTTGTACCTGATTCTTTAGATGCACAGTAACTATGTAAAACTGAGTCACTGGGCAGTCAAGACGACAAGATTAGTGCAAGAAAAGCAACCACGAGTGAGTCTAACTGTACTTGAGTGATCCTGGAAACACAGACAACATCCCAGGGCTCCTCCTCCTGCAAGACTGCTCCTCACTAAACTACAGTCACATTCCCTCTTGCTTGTTCTCCATCTGGTTCCATGACTCTTAGCCTTCTGGCACTGAAGCCACCCAGCTTCAACAGAAGGTATGGATATGACCTCCCGCTTAGCCTCTCCCATAACCTGAAAGTTAGAGAATTATCCTAGGAAGAAGATGTGGGTTTAGATCATTTCAATAGGGGAAGACAAACTGGCTTCTTGGGGCAAACATGCTATTATACAACTGGGCAAAAAGTATGCAGAACTAACACCAGCAGCGTTTCAAGAGCGAATGGGGATGCCGTGCTTTATGGCAAATGCAGTTTGGCATCCAAAATGACAGGATTAAGTGCCTCCCTGCTGAGTGATCTGGATTCTGAAAGGATAGAAGTACCTCATTTGCAGTCCTGTGTTAAATTATTAAACTGATACCGGAGAATCGGGAGTTCAGTTTCCAAGTAGTTATCTGTAGGTGCTACCTTGCTGAACTACTAGGCAATCTGGATCCCCCCCTTGGAAACTCCCAAGTCTTTCCATTCACTGTTTAAGTAGCCTAGGCCCCAAAACCTGTCAATTTAGAACCTGCCCAAGGCTAGGCGCCTACATTCTAGGTATTGCAACACCCAAGTGGAGGCACCTACAAAATCAATTTGGATTCAACCCTCATCTTTCTGCTTCAGTTTGTTCAGTTATCAATTTTAGTAATGACATCTACATCAAAAAGAGGGTTATCTGGATATTTAATAGTTATCTAGTACCCTAAAATGTAAAACCATTAACCCAATAGGTTTAATTCTAAAACAGATTTAGAATTGGGTGTTCGGGGAACAGTCCCACAGCCCAAAACACTCCCTATGCTATGAAGTAAGTATACCACAACTTGTTAAAAATAGTCTCTTCCATTCATTAGAGACAGCAGATGGCCATTAATCTTGTTGAAAGTATTGATTCAAACTACTTGTCTTCACTTTCAAGGTTCTTCACAGCCTGTCCCCTTCCCATATATCATATCTCCTACACTATTGAAAAGCTGGCTTCCACTTCTGCCATGATGTCAGCTTTGTCAGCCATTTTTAAACATGCTTTCTCCCACACTCTTCTCATATTTGGCATCTATGTAAACATCCACAAAGCCATCATTCCTCTCTCTAAACCTCTCTTTTGCTGAGATGCTTACAAAACCTTAGCAATAGTTATGTACGTGTATGCTGAGACTTCAGTCATTACCCAGAATTTTCTTATTATTTTTTTGTTCTCTCTCTGTCGGCTTCTGCACCCACCCACGGTCTCTTGTAAGCACGTCAGGGCAGAGACTCTATTATGTAACCATATAGTGTCGAGCACAAAAGCAGCCCAGACATACAGCTCTGGCAGTACAAATCACAAATCAATAAATATTGACTCCGATTAGTCAGGAAATTGTAATGATATGAGTATGGCAGATTGCTTTCTTTCTGTATGTAATTAATATCCTACTGTTGGCTCACAAGTTAATTATTCATTTTCCTCCAGTAGTGATTCAGGCCAGCAGATTTACTGACGAGTATCTTTTTCCATCATCCCTAGTACAAAGATCTGCCCAAAATCACATGGATACTGCTGAGATAGGTAATGAAGACGCTAAAGACTCCCACCAAGGAAGAACAGCAATGAAATCATTTTCCCAAGCTCTTCTAGCAAGACACCCTACAGTCTTCGGTATTCAATCACTTACTATAAAAAAGACAGCTTCCCCGCCTCAGACTTCAGCAGCAACAAAATCTGATCTAGATTCCATGCCATCTGAGAAAGCATCATCCTTGGATAAAGGGATGATAGAAATGAATGCACACAACTTACTTCTGCACCAAGAGCCTGATGACAAAGCAGCAATGGTCAGAATGACAACCCGGATCTCTCCTGACTATAATCTGTACCTTAGATCACACACAGCAGGGAGTGTTTCCCCTCACCATGACATGAGTGCAAGTCCATTAGTTTCAAGCCCGTCTGCTGTTCAACAGACCCGCACAAAATCTAACTTTTCTTCGAGAAATTGGTCTAGTAGGATTGCAACAACAAAGACCAAGCCACCGCATGATTTTCGAACAGAAAAGCCAAGAGCATCTGCTTTGACCACCCTTGCGACTTCTTCATTCCGTTTGATAGCTTCTTTTTCTGATACAGCTCCCCAAAGTGCTAGCCTCCCAGTAAGGACTTCTGTTCAAGCAAGAATTCCAGCACAGACCATTGCAATCAGAAAGCCAGACGCCTTCACAGCGAACCATTTGGCACTATCAAAACCCATTACTGGTCTACTGCATCAGGACAAGAAAATTACTTGTGCCAACATGCCATGCTTTTCAGGAGTGCAGTGTGAGCCAGCTAAAGATGGAAGATTTAAATGTGGGCCTTGTCCATTTGGATACAGCGGGGATGGAATTACGTGTCGAAGTAAGTAAAACAAGAAGGAAAACCACTGAAAGTATTTTAGTATTTTCAAAATTCATCATTATTCAAAACAATAATTTATATTTTGTTTAAATCTGTGGGGTTTTCTCAGCTGGGATCGCACTTGCTTTCAGCCGAACTAACTTGTTTTATAGTTCAGAACAAACTGCTTTCTGCTGGAATAAATGGCAGTTTTATTTGCCAGCATTAGAGCAATTAAAACAGTGGGCCCAATTTTATTCTCACTTCACCTCATTTAAATCTGGAGTCATGCTATTAAAGTCAATGGAATTCCAATTTGGTAAAATTAGTGTAAGCAGGACCAGAATGGGCTCTGTATGTCTACACAAAGTTTATATACCGTAGACAATTTATATTTTGCAAAGTAATGTTCCACTACCTTGAAAAGTAACTTTAAATTCCTGCACTAATATTCTAGGAAGAAAACTCATTGTCATCTGATATGTATAGTTCTAGATTATGTTCTTATATGGTATATTGATTCATTTATTAGTTCAAAAACCCTCAGTGAAAAAATACTACTATTATACATAATTTTAAAAGAGTGAATGTGTTTACTTAACTATTATTATATTCTTTATTCAAATCTCTGATTAACTGATACATTAATTGGTCTTTCACTGGCAAAAGTGGGTGTATTATCTACTTAATTTTCTTTTACACACACACATGCACACATATTTATGCACAAGCAGGGCAGATCATGGTTCTCACTGGGTTGGCCTCTCATGACTCAGAGAGCAAAACTTTAAGTTAGCTTTATCTGCATCCCAATGATCCCAAAGGCAGGTGGAAATCCCTGCTACCATGGCAGAATATCCAGTTGTTGCCAGTCATATAGCACCTCATCTCAGAGCTCACAATCACGGGGGAGATTTACTGAAGAACAACCAGGCTACCATAATCCCAGCTCTCCTGGTTTCTGAAATGGCCTGCGATGGGCCCATAGATACCCATGCATAGGATACAGCAGCTCTGAGGCTGACCTACTTTGCACCAGAGATTAGAAAAGGCAGCACCCTGAGATATGCGAAATAGCTGGATCCCAATGTTTGCTCCTTCATAGCTATGCACATTTGCACATGTATATATACACACAGTCCTATTTTTTTAACATGTTTTTCAAGTACATTGGTATGTTCCTTAAATCATAATTCTAGCTACAATCCTTAGCTGCTCCAAAAGTCAAGAGGCTTCTTTCCTTCTGCTTCAACAACTATTCTTACTGCAAATCTCCCTGTAGAGTCCTTAAGATGAAATATTTTATTACCAACATCATTCTCTGTCTCAGAGTTTAATAATATGACACATAAACGTCCTTTATTTTTTTCTGGTCTCTGACCATGTCAGCTGACTAAAAAAAAGCTTGCTGCTTTGAGATTCTGTTCCATCACAAGCTTCTCTGTGTAAGGGCCGATAGCTATCCTGGAACGTGACCAAAAATATCTGTGTTGCTGGATCTGTCTGAAGAACTTCTATTGTACCCCTAGCTGCTGATGTTTTCTTCCATGTCAAAAGCAGCAGACTTATCTTGAAAGATGATGGTAATTTCTTGCATTTAGGACTGCCATCATCTCTTATATTAGCACCTGGCAGGCCAGCCAAGACTCTAATAATTTCCCTTGAAACAATAATACCCACTAAGAACAGACAACAGCAAAACCTAGCAGCTGATCAAAGCCATGTCCAGACTTTTTGAAATCTTATGCTTGGATGCAACATCTCTGGTAAGTGATCTAACATTGAGTGAAAATATCAACAGCCTTAGACAGTCTGCTGAGAGTTGCCACCATCTTATTTTATAATGGAATTCAATGAGATAAAGGAAGCAGACCATCTGTAGCAAGGTTTAATACCTGTGATGCTTGATGAAACCTTTGCTTAATAACAGTGACTGAAAATCTTCCAAGATAATATATACTACACTAAGTGATATTTATCCTGTGTGACCAAATTCAGATTTTCTTCTCAAGTATGTTGTTAAAATCAGAGCTAGGAAATTTGATCTGGGGCAAAAAAGAACCAGCCTAAAAATTAATCTGCCCCCTGAACAAACTCAAAGCAAACTAACTCATACTTTCTTTGTGAAGGTTTAATTCAGTTTTGGCAAGGACTCTTCTCCTCTGACACTGTACATGGCTGTGATTACCTCCTCCTCTTAGAGCCGTCATTGGGAAACTCTTCCCTTCGTATTAGCTTTCTACTCTTCAAAACTACAGGCCGGATATTCCAGTGAACTCAGTTAAGCATCTAACCACCATATTTTCAAAAGTGTGTGGTATTGCGTGCCTCCCACTGAAAACATTTCCTCAGTTCTCAGCGGGAGGGACTAGGTGAGCTTCCACAAATCGGAGACGAGATGGATTCCTGGAACCTCTCCTTCCGTCTTCATCCCTTATAATCCCTCAGTATTATAAATTCAGCCTAAGCACTCACTTTGTAAATGCTTTTGTCATTGGATGGAAGGCACTAATGGTTCAGTGCAAGTTCAGGACGACAAAATGTAGGGCCCCAACGTGTTTCCCTCTAGAGAAGTCTATTGAAGAGCTTCAGTTTCAGAAAGAGAGAGACAGTCACCTGCTAGGGTTGCTTACTCTAACTGAAGCTATTCTGGGAGATTTTTTTTCCTCCCAGTGTGACGTGATGTCATTAATTGTACTGATCAACCCGTTCCCAGTATCAATCTCCCAAATCGTGTTCAGTAGTCATCAGGAGATGGATGCTGATTCCGGTAGACTCCCAGCCAATCCAGGACGTTTGGCAACCCTATCACCTGCAGACTTACAGAAAAGGATCAGGAACACAAAGGTCCTGTTGAAGCCTAATGGGTTGCCATGTTCACATGAGTATGCTTATTTGAGCTTATATTTCACAAAGTGAAGGAGGGAATCTGAAATAGATTCAACATCAGCTGGTAGTGTCCTTTAAAGGGCAAGTACTTTATCACCAATAAATAATGATAATGGTACAGACTTAGCAGTTTTACAGGACAGTGCTTTTCACTTGCCAAGTGCATTACAGATATGCCACAATATTTACAGAGCTGTAAATATTTCAGTATCACTCTTTAAACCATATCCACAGAATCAGGGAAGCTCATTCAACTAATCCATACTTAGTGGGACCAAAACTATTATTTATAACATATTCAGAGTATGTCTAGTCATGAGCTGTCAGGTGCATTTAAATTTTAATGTGTAATATGCTAAATAACACTAAACACTATTGCTTGGAAATGCTTATACCAAATGGTTGTTTTCTAAGCATCTTAATATTTTTAATTTATGTTTCTGCTTCTATTTTTCACTCTAGTTAAGTGGATGTATCTTTAAATGCATTTTAAATACTATAATATTGAAGGAAATGCAGTTGATTTCCCAGGGCTAAGAGGGTGTGGGGCTAGCAGTAAGGGACTGAGAGCAGCCGTTGTGTTACATAGGATCCTTTAGGATGGGCTGCGGTGGACGTACCCCATAATAGGGCTGTCGTTAACAGAACATTCTGTTCTAGGTATTTTTCGTTAAGAATCAGGAATAAGACAGAATTCAAGACAAACTCCTGATCTGCTGCATTTTAATTTCACTTTCCCCAAGTATGTTTGACAGGGTAAAGACAAGCAGAGGCTTATCTCTAGGGAGTACAAGCCATATCCTGAAATGACACAGTACTAGGTTTGGTGAAAGGGAATTTTCTTTTTTAATTCCTTATGAAATTCTCATAAAAATCTTAGCATTCCTATAGAGAATAAAACCTTTATGTCTGTTTCCAAAACAGGTAGTATCTTGATAACATGACGTCTAAAGAATTCTGAAGTTCTTTATTGGCTTCCCTGAGAGGGAAAGCTGCAGTCAAGCTGGTGCAATCACAATTAAGTCACAACTGAGACTGGCTTTCAGTTTACGGAATTCATTACCTTGAATTTTTGTTATTAAAATATAGTAAAAATAATAATTTTCACAGGAATGGAAAGTCAACGGTAATGGAATTCTAATGGCAAATATTCATAACTGGATAAAACAGGGCAACAATTCATGCAAATATTTCCTTTGCCATTAGTCAGGAATGACATTTTTACAACACAAAATTGAGAAGTGCAGCCTAACTGGAACCATTATTGAAATGCCTACATTTGAACTCATGATATATTTCAACAACGTCCTGGCTGAAAAGTAACTCTCATTAGTTTCATTACTTTCCTGTTTATTATGATCTGGCCTGCAATACCATCTAAGTAAAATAGCTTCTTTAATTGTCCTGAAACATTCATGAAATACAGCCCTGAGTGAAAGGCCGGCATAAGACCACATACTACACTGTTTGGCAATATATAGGTTTATTGCTAGCTTTTTGTCCAGGCTTTTACCTTTTAAATTAACCTTTCAAGTTTAACAGTGTACACCAGATACAGTTGAATGGAGAGGTCTTAATTGACTTTTCAGCTGCCTAAAAGGTAAGTACATTTCAGCTAAGTCTTCAGTCACAAAGAGCAATCTGCATTGACCCTGTTGGGTGGTTGCAAAAAAATGCTTTGGCACCTCCATTTGGGGAGGGGATTCAGGTTTCATCAGGGGAGGGGATTCAAACCAAACTCCTAGAAAAGTGCCCCAGTCACTAGCCTTAGCCATGAGCTAAGCTAGTGGAAGGGGGCCTGTCACCCCACTTTGTAGAGGGTGGCTTATTAGGCAATGAGAACATGGACCAGAAGGAGAGCGAACAAGGGAAAGCATAACTATGTAGCATGGTAGTTATGGTATTTGGGAGGAAAGGACGATGGTGGTGGTTCTAGCTTCACCTACAGAGTTATTTCTGTTTTTTTAAGCAAGGACTGTCCAATATAAAATTCTTGAAGAGCTGTGTCAGCAGAGATCAGAACTAAGGGCTTATGAGTACAGTCCTCATCGCTAGGCCACAGTGCCAGGCCTTCCGTTGCTTGCTCTGTTTTGGGTCTAAACTTACATATCTTCATTATATACCTTCACTTTACATCTCATAGCTATGTCACTTAAACTCAAAGGCTTCAGTCCACGTTTGTTCAAATGAAAGATCATAGTGCTGGATGCTGGCCAGAGACTCAGTGATCTTATTAATCTCTCCAGTACATTTTTGAACATTCTCTTTACCTAAAGAAAGTTTTCTCTATTCAGCTGTGCCAGAAGAAAAATAATTTATAATAGAAACACTTTCCAGTGAAGTCGCTTCTGATGTGCTTTATTCTCTCAAACTCTAAAGAAGAACTGTAGATAAGTATCATCAAATATGGAGCCTTAATTTATAGGAAATTATTCACACCTTCAAGTGGTAAAATGCATATGCTGTATCACTTATATTTTAAGTAACAAATCCAAATCATTTTAGCAAAGTGCAGACTTGAGCGTCCAAATAGAGAAAAGTATGCTGCAACCGGTATTCTCAGTGTCCCCAGGCTATGGAAAGGGGATCTATAAAAATGGCATGAACTCATTTTAAAATAAAAATTAAACACTAGAGAAACACTTTTTTTATGGGACAAAGTAGTGCCAAATGGTTTTAAAAAAAAAAACCTAAGTGTTCATAGAAAACAGTGCATACATCTCAACTTCTCATCTACAGATTTTAAATGATAAATACATACATACATTTGACAGCAAGACTGACCATTTGTAACACTAGTTCTCTCCTTATACAATTTTATCCTACGCCTTTTTGTTCTCAAAAAGGTTGAGAACAAAAACACTACAATGCTTTTGTGCAATTTATAAAATGTTTATGGGAAGAAAATGTTCCATAAGATAATAGAAATAAGTTTTAGAAAAAAAACCTGACATACACAGTATATTTTTTCTTACCGAGGGAACAGTTTACTAAGTAAATGGTTATTTT